CATAGTTTTACACATCGGCGCCATGACACGTGGCACGTGTCACCAAACATTATCAGCTCGCACCTTCTATTCATCATTGAAGCGCGCCAATCCCGGGTGTGTTAGTGCCATAGGTGCCGAAATGTGGCACAAAAGGTGCAAATCGGTGGCAGAGAAAAAAATCCATCCCTGATCCCGTGCCGTGTGATGCGTGTGAACGTACCATTTCGATTAGTAAAATTTGGCACCTTGCAAGTTATGCAATTTCCAGCGCAACGGTGCGTTGCAGAAACTCGCGACGCGACTGAAAATTTACCCGCGTCAATTGTGAATGTTGGGAAACAAAAGCCACGCCTGCGCGCGCACGGCGACCGCAACGCACAGCGCGCCACCGACCGTCATGCCTGAGCCGAGATCACCCCTCCCCCCTCCCCCCCCAACCACCCGCCCACCGGCCGCAAGCCGCCAGAACAGAGAACCCAGGCGCCGGCCCACCGCCGGACAGACTGAAGGCACAATAGAATGCTCGTTCTTTAATATGACACCAAGCGATGTGAACAAAGTCGAAAACCCGCCGCCCGAACGGCCATTTGAACCCCTAACGCCTAGGGCATACGTTGGGGAGCAGTAAGCACCTCGCCGCCGTCGCAGCGAAAAAGCCGTCTTGCAACCCTTAAGTGTAGGCTCATTCGTGAGCGACATTTTTCAAGATGCGGTTCACAAAAGGGCGCATCAGAGACAGCACGAATCGGCTGATGCGCTGATGCAGTTTTCAACGCTAGATCACGCAAAGTTTTGATGGAAGCGTCTTCTATTCGGCGCCAATTTTTAAAACTTGGCATCCTGCAATTTGTTCTGCAATTTGCAGCACAACAGTGGGTTGTAGAAACTCGCGATGCTCGCTGAGAATGTGCCGCATTATTTTTAAATGTTGAAAAACAAAATTCAGGCCTCTACCTTTTTCCGTGCCGAGATATGACGGTAAACGTAAAGACGCGTCAAAAGGGCCGATTTCAACTTGTCAACGCGTTTGCACGTGCCACATGTCACGTGGCGGAAAAAACTCACCAGATTACGATGGCCCATTCCGTGCCCTATCGCACTGCGCAAGTTGCATGTCGCTGCGACCCTTGGTCATCAAGGTAGGGCTCCGGAAAGCGAAGCGTGTCGGGCCGTTGGTCGGAATCGCTAATTGGCGTCGCCCGCGTTAGACATATGGGGGATTTTACGCTCGTGTTCCGCTCAGTACACACTCATTTTTGCGAAATGTAAAATTTTGACGCGGCTATGTCACGTGCCGCAAGCGGGTCTTGGTCGTGTGCAAATTTCATGGAAAAATTCCTGACCGTTTAGCCTGCAGATGATCTAACTCAAGCGGCGGACACACACACCGGCGCAGGAGCCTTTATCGACACAATAAGATCCCTATCGTCGCAGGTGGTCCAGTAAGAGGCACTGAGACTCCAATTCGGTTTAACGAGTCCTTGCCTGCTATGGGATGGAAAGCGTCCCATTTAGTACGAGGGGCCGCGACTGACACAGCCCTTCCATCGGCTCATAGGGGGATGATCATCACTAGTTGTCATATCCCCTTTCATAGTCAGACGGCCCCGACCATAGTCAATGGCCCCTTGGGCTCCGGCATTCGAGATCCCTTTCCTGTCCCTATTCAACAAGTGCTCCCCTCGTTGACTCGGGACCCTTCGTCGACATAAAACCGCCTGTTGCACACTGTGGGGCCCTGCCCGTCACGGGGCCCCATTGCTGCGGGCCCCGATCAATGCGAATTTCGGGCCCCGGCCCCGTCCCTCCTTGGGAAACCGGCCTCCAGGGCTGAAACAGATACAGAACCAACTGTTCGGTGCTAGCAGTCTCTGACTGGAATAGGATCTTGCATTGTCGCAGGGGCCTCTAGTCGGTGTAAGAGGCAACCTGACGGACATTAAAGGTCATGACCACTTGGACGAAGGTCCTTAATGTGCTTTGCAGCGAGACTTTCGGGCGTTTCCAGCCCTTTAGTTTTCCAATTTGGACCTTTATCTTTGGTCCCGAGGAACCCTCCGGGTCCCTTCGAACACGCCCCCTGGCCAAAACGGGGCCTCTTGCCAGCAAAGGACCCCATGTCAGGAACTGTTAACCTGTGACCGACACAGGTGACCCCTCATTAGCACTAGGGACCTGACTACAGGTAATCGCTGGCCCCGGCCTTGTCCATGCTCTAGAAAGGAGCCTTCAGGCCCAAACCGAGACGGATCCGGCTGTTCGGTACTAGTGGTGCTTGGCCGACTTAAACGCGCTCGTGTACTCAAGGGCTCCAAATCGGCACAATGGGCCCTTTGCCGGAGTCGGGCCCTAAATGCGACCTCCAGCCAGCCCTGCTGCCCATAACCATCAGTCCTGAGGGACTTGAATGGCCCCGCGAGGCCTAAGAGAGGGGCATGTTCCCCCTGGGTTAGTTAGGTAGTTATTGAGCTTTAAGGGGGCGTCGACTGCATTGGTTATTTGTGACCCCTGCACCACTAGGTTCTGGTTAGATTACATATATATGTATATATGCACCTATATATGCATCTATCTATATATATATATATATATATATATATATATATATATATATATATATATATATATATGTAAGTATATATATATATATCTATATATATATATATATGTATAAATATATATATATATATATATATACATATATATATGTACTACCATAAGTCATCCACGGTACCATTCTGCAATTGCTTAGAGATCCGCAGAAAATCGTAAGTAGTAGCATCGTCCTCCAGCTCTTGTCCATGAAATGTGCGCAGCTGTGACTTATGCGGCTTACGCCTGTTTTTATTATGAGAGTGAAGAGAGCTCTTGGCTGTGAACACTGCGGTGCGCTAGGCAATGCATTTCTTTAGGAGGGAAGTGTCGAGGGTTTTGCGTTCAGTGGCAAATAACCAGAATCAAACTGGAGGCAAACCACTTCAGTGAACTGTGGATTGTAATCTTGGGGAGTGGAGCAGAAACTCTGTCACAGAACAAGAAGTAAAAGTACTGTGGAAATCGGCAAGCACCAGAAGGCTCATGCTGTCCATTAATTCGTAAACCTGCCCCAACCTGCGTAACTGCCCACTGCAGCAGAATCAGTTGCAGTGCATATTTTTAAAATAAATGACTTTTGGGCTTGCACCTATTCAATTTTAAGAACCAATGGTGTGGATATGATCCAGCACTATGAAGATACCATGATTGTGTGCCACACATGTTGAATACAGCTTGATTCCACCTGAGCTAAAGGTTGCAAGTATTGAGTATCACCAGATGGGATTTTTTATTGTTGATTTACTGAAATCAATCATGTTAGCTATTGCGGAGCTTCTTGGTTTGAGCCGCATTCAAGATGTCGGCACCAATGGCCTTAGAATAACTGTGAAAATGGTTAAACAAGAGGCTGATGGGTCCAGGGCTGCAGTAAATGTGGCCATTGATGTACAGCCTGAGTGGTCAATACAAAAGGTGAAGGATACCATAGCAGGAAGACTGAAATTGGGTGCTGGAGACTTGAAGATCATATTTGCAGGTCATGAACTAAGAAATGATATACTTGTAAAGGTGGGTTTAATTATGCATTTTTTGGCTGAGTTTGTGGCCAGCACAGTGCTCAATGTGTTGCATTTGTAAGTGGTTTCAATTGACATGCATGAGGAATTATCACTCAAATGCAATGGCAATAAAAAACCCGCATCTAGCCTCCTTGGGCCTATGTCAATTTATCTCTCCATACAGCAATTAGACTATGATGACCTTAGCAGCTGCTGTGAAGCACTCACTCTTTTTGTCCTTGCCCATGTCCTGGCTGTTGCCCTAGCCATTGCCCTAGTCATTGCCCTAGCTATTGCCCAGGTCTCTGCCCTGGTCATTGCCTTTGCTGTTGCTCTTGACATTACTGTTGGCATTATCATTGTCATTGTCATGGCCCTTACCCTTGCTCTCTCTCTCTCTCTCTGTCCCTCTCTGTCTCTCTATGTTCCTCTCTGTCCCTCTCTGTTGCTCTCTGTCCTTCTCTGCCCCTCTCTCTCCCTCTCCATTTTTCTCCCTCTCTCTCTCTATCCCTCACTGTCTCTCACTCTCCTTCCTGCTTCCTCTTCCTTTCCCTCTCCCTTTCTCTTTCCCTTTCTTTCCCCCTCTCCCTCTCCCTCTCCCTCTCCCTCTCCCTCTCCCTCTCCCTCTCCCTCTCCCTCTTCCTCTCCTCTCCCTCTCCCTCTCCCTCTCTCTCTCTCCCTCTATCCCTCTCCCTCTCCCTCTCCCTCTCCCTCTCTCTCCCCCTCCCTTTCCCTCTCTCCCAAAATGAATGCTGTGCAGGTTTGTCAATACAATACAAAGCTCCTTATGATACCCATGTCACATACCAACTACTTCATGTCATGGCATTGCTCTGATATGTTGGAGGCAATGACAGCCTAGCAGGATTCTGAGGCCATTTAGCAAGTCTGTCTCACACTGATGGGTGCCAGAGATTACAAAAGAAACAAAAATTATCATTGCAGCAATGGTGCCCACTACTCCAATGGCAGTTACCATCACAATCTGTTACATCGATGACATCGGGAGGGGGAGGGAGGGGGGGGGGGGCAGAAAAAACCTGTACACTACCCAGGTCCCAACCCACGATCTGCCACCCAGTCACGGACCAATGCTCTACGGACAGACTGAGCCACACAGCCCCTCCCTCCACATCTGCTTTGGAATATTGTGTGTGACGATGTCCGCGTGATGTGGTAATAGGTGTGTTGGAAAGTCTTTTCCTCACACATTGCATGTTTGCCAGGAGTGTGACCTGGGTCAGCAGAGTGTGCTGCATGCTGTCCAGCTGGTGCATCGAAAAGCCGCCGAGCGGCGCGCCTCAGAGAGCGAGCCGCTCAACAAGACCATCAACAGGATCCTGGACCAGCAGCAGCTGGAGCCGGCGGGCGGTAAGTGCCGGCCTATCCGACTGTTGGCAGCCTGGCATTCCAATAGTCTTCATGCAGGAGTGTGTGCAGGAGGTCAGAATCGATTCCCACCACCAGAAATGTAGCTCTCCGGCTGCCTCTACGCGCGCAATTCGTTGGTGGCTAACTCGTTGCCCTTTGACCCCGAACGCTGACACCTGACCTGCCTGCCCAACTGGCCAAGCCCGGGGCGCCTGGAGGCTGGGTTGACCGCCCGGTCCGATGCCTAATTGGCCGATCCTGAGCAGGGGGAGGAATAAGAGCAGCAGGTGGTAGCCCCGAGCCGGGGATGCCAGCATATCGACATTCGTGCTGCCCAATTGGCCGAATATCGCAATGATGTGACAGCTGCCACGTCAGCGCTATGCCCCATGGGGTTTAGGGCGGTCAGATAAAAGGAAGAAAAGATCATGGCAAACTAAAAAAAGAGGAATCCACAATGCTCACAAGCGATCTTGCAGTGCGCCGCGCGGGGTGAGGGCTACTTTCCGTGCTGTGTATTTCCCTGTGATGGCTTTGGATATGTGATGTTTTTGCCTCACATATCCATGAAATTGATGTGATCAGAAAGAACAGCTTGTAATTTTAGTTGAACCTTTTCTTAGGTGCTTAGTCGATCTTACCCGGAAAGGTAAGCCCATGTAAACCTCAAGATGTATAAACTAAATACCATTTCGTATTGTGTGATATCATCGTGTGTATTGTGTGATATCAGCGTGTTATTGTGTACAGCATCAGGTGTTTTGTGTGGTTATAGTGAGCTCATCAAGAAGCACAGTGACTTCTCAAACCTTTTTCCAATTGGTTTCGCTGGCGCATATCGGCATACACACGCTCGCACGCAGTCAGGGGAGATACGCGTCCGAAAGCAGGTTGTCGCGATCTCCGGCGACTGTGCGGCAACCCCGTTCACCGCCGCTGCCCGGCCTGTTCGGCAGCTGAAGACGGCTCTGGCGGCGGCGGCGGCGGCGGCGGCGACAGCAGCGATGGCAGCGGCGGCGCGGCTCAGTCCAGCTTCCACGTGTTCTGTGTCAGTCCGTGCGGCGGGCTGCGGCGCGGCAAGCTACGCGTGCGCTGCGCCACGTGCCGCCAGGGGGCGTTCACGGTGCGCCGCGACCCGTGTTCCTGGGAAGACGTGCTGCTGCCGCGCCGCGTGCCCGGTGAGGCCTGCTGGGGTCGCGGCATACATTCTCTGGCTCCGGGCAGGGGACTGTGTGTGTGTGGGGGGGGGGGGGGAGAGGCGAGCAGGCGGGTTTGTGACGTGGAGTGGCGGCCTCTTTGGGCTCATGGTCTGCCAGAGGTTTAAGCGGTAGGAGGCGGGGAGAGTGAGCGAGTGCGATAGAGTGTTTGTATACGTACAGCGCGCGTTATCCCGGCAGAAGATGTGGCGGCCTCTCCCTGATATGGAAAGCGTGATCAGAGGAAGAGGCAGGCCGTTGTATGTCGCTGCTGCGCCGCTCACCGCGTTGGCTTGCGCTGACTGGCGCGCTCCGACCGCTCAGGCACGTGCGACACTGCCGGTTGCGACGGCGACACGGCCCAGTTCTTCTTCAAGTGCGGCGAGCACGCCAGCCTGGGCGAGGAGGACCAGGCGGTGCCGCTGGACCTCGTGCGCAACAACTTGCGCCAGATCCCCTGCCTGGCCTGCGCCGACACCGCGTGAGTGCCCTCAGGCGACGGCGGAGATTGTCGGCTCTGTTGTGCTCCCGCGGTTAGCACTGTGATGTCTCAGTGCCGGCTCCGACCTGCTGTTACGTGGGCTGACATGCCATACCGCGCCCCGCGGCGACCTGGTGATGCCATACCGCGCCCCGCGGTGGCCTGGTGATGCCATACCGCGCCCCGCGGTGACTTGGTGATGCCATACCGCGCCCCGCGGTGACTTGGTGATGCCATACCGCGCCCCGTGGCGACCTGGTGATGTCATACGGCGCCCCGCGATGATCTGGTGATGCCATACCGCGCCCCGCGGTGACCTGGTGATGCCGTGCCGTGCCCCGCGGTGGCCTGGTGATGCCGTGCCGTGCCCCGCGGTGACCGGGCCGTAGCGTACCCGTGCCCCGCGGTGACCTGGTGATGCCATACCGCGCCCCGCGGTGACCTGGTGATGCCGTGCCGTGCCCCGCGGTGACCTGGTGATGCCATACCGTGCCCCGCGGTGACCGGGCCGTAGCGTACCCGTGCCCCGCGATGATATGGTGATGCCATACCGCGCCCCGCGGTGGCCTGGTGATGCCGTGCCGTGCCCCGCGGTGACCTGGTGGTAGCGTACCCATGCCCCGCAGTGACTTGGTGGTGGCCTACCGTACCCTTCAGTGACCTGGTGATGCCGTACCGTGCCCTTCAGAGACCTGGTGGTGGCATACCCGTGCCCGGCCGGCCACGTCACCTGTCTGGAGTGCTTCGTCACGTACTGCCGAAGCCGGCTGGATGAGCGCCAGTTCGTGCAGGATGCGCAGCTGGGCTACACGCTCGGCTGTCCGGCCGGCTGTCAGCGCTCCCTCATCACCGAGGCTCACCACTTCCGGCTGATGGGCGACCAGCAGGTGGGCGGCCGCCGTGACGTCACAGGAGACCGCCGGCCTGGTGTTCTGAAGACGTCTGGGGCAGGATGCGGGGTTGTGTGAGTGAGAAATAGCCTCTCGAATTGGCTTTTAACCGTGCAGTTGGGTTCTTCTGCATAGGTCCCTGGCTTTATACTGTCCTGCAGCAGAACAGGAGGAAAACAAATTACTAAAGTGAAAACAAATAGCTGGAGTGAAAGAGCATGTCTTTGCACCTGTAATAACTAACGACCGTGTGACCTGTGTGTGCCGCAAGTACGAGCGCTACCAGCGATTCGCGACCGAGGAGTGCCTGCTACAGGCGGGCGGCGTGCTCTGTCCGCGGCCCGACTGCGGCATGGGCCTGCTGCCGGACGAGCTGTGCCGCCGCGTCCAGTGCCAGCAGGGCTGTGGGGTGAGTCGCTGGGGCGGCGGGTGCTGCGGCGCCGGGCGGCGCTCCGGCCGTAGGGAGGTCGGCCCCCGCTGTGTGTTAGCGAGCGTCCACATCACACGTCACCAGTGCAATGGCGCTGGTGTTATTTGGAAGCTGTTTGGCGGCGATTTTCTCTTTGTTCGTGATCGGCGTGACCAGGGTATTTGTTATCGATTGCGCGTTTATTGGGCTCTGTCGAGTTATGCGTGACGACTGCGCCCTCTGCTGACGACTGCGCCCTCTGCTGACTACTGTGCTCTCTGCTGACGACTGTGCCCTCTGCTGACGACTGCGCCCTCTGCTGACTACTGTGCCCTCTGCTGACGACTGCGCCCTCTGCTGACGACTGTGCCCTCTGCTGACGACTGCGCCCTCTGCTGACGACTGTGCCCTCTGCTGACGACTGCGCCCTCTGCTGACGACTGTGCCCTCTGCTGACGACTGCGCCCCCTGCTGACGACTGTGCCCTCTGCTGACGACTGCGCCCTCTGCTGACGACTGTGCCCTCTGCTGACGACTGTGCCCTCTGCTGACGACTGTGCCCTCTGCTGACGACTGCGCCCTCTGCTGACGACTGCGCCCTCTGCTGACTACTGTGCTCTCTGCTGACGACTGTGCCCTCTGCTGACGACTGCGCCCTCTGCTGACGACTGTGCCCTCTGCTGACGACTGCGCCCTCTGCTGACGACTGCGCCCTCTGCTGACGACTGCGCCCTCTGCTGACGGATGCGGCTGAATTTCGTTACAGTTTGTCTTCTGCCGAGATTGTCTGCAGGGCTACCACATGGGAGAATGCGACCCCGCAGGCGGCGCTGCGGGCTCGGCGACCGGTGAGCGAACCAGCGAGCCATACACTCGCCACACTCTCACCGCACACTTGTTTCACGCTCGCCACACGCTCACGGCACGCTCACCACAAATTCCACCCAGAATGCAGTTACTATTTCCAAATACGCGAGCTCGTCCTGGCCCTGGTCCAAATCATCCGTGGGACGACCAACTCTGCTTCGGTTTAGCATTTAGCTAGCTGTCGCCCGGCGGTGGCGGTGAGCAGTTGAGGTTGTGCGTGTGGCCGGCAGATGGCGCGCGAGCGTTCGGCGTGGACGAGGTGGCGCAGGCGCGCTGGGAGGAGGCGACGCGGACGGCCATCCAGGTGCTGACCAAGCCGTGCCCCAAGTGCCGGACGCCGACGGAGCGTGACGGTAGGTGTGCTCGGCCCTCCCGGCCGCCGCTGCACGGGGCGCATCGGGCGGCGTGGGGCTGGTGGTCCGTGGTCTCCGAGGCTCCGGTCCGTGGCCTGGACCTCACGCACCGCTTACCCAGTCATCGCCCCTGGGCCTCTCAAGGTGACGCGATCCCTCGGACGGGATTTTCACGCTTTGCCCTTTGACTCGACGCGGGCTCGATGCTCCAGCGCTACGTAGCAACCGTTGATAATTTTGTGTCGTGACTGACATACCACCACCGTCGGGTGGAAATGGAGTTCACTTCTAATGTAGGGCCACAGGCCAGTGCCTATCGACTTCACTTGGCCCTGTGCGTCTCTTGACACCACATTTCGTTTGTGGTCCCTTCTGACATCCATCCCCGCTATGCCTTGCCATCGCCAACATCGTTGAACTGTTTTCTGTCCCGTCAGCGACACACAGTCGTGCATCGCGTCTGCTCTCGCCCACGGGTCTCCCACGCGGCGCCCATTCAGGCGGCCCCCATAGCCCAATCAAAAGGTATTGACCAGAGACGATCAGAGGCGCTGAACGGACCTCACTATCTCGATACAGAAACTATTTAGGGGGGGGGGGAGGGGAGAGCGGACAGCTGGCAGGCCGTGACTCTGGAGCCGGAGTCAAGACCGCCGGCCAGGGAGTCCCCCAGGTGGCATTCCAGCCGCCACCGGACCGAGCCATATGTGTGCTGTTTCGTCATGTAGCTATCTAAGCATAACTATATGTTTTTTTCATCCCGTTACCGAGACGGCGGCCCGTTGACGGCTGGCTCCCGTACGGCGGGAGCCGGTACTGTGTGCCGGCCGGCGGTCCGGTGACGGCTGGCTCCCGTACGACGGGAGCCGGTACTGTGTGCCGGCCGGCGGTCCGGCGACGGCTGGCTCCCGTACGACGGGAGCCGGTACTGTGTGCCGGCCGGCGGTCCGGTGACGGCTGGCTCCCGTACGACGGGAGCCGGTACTGTGTGCCGGCCGGCGGTCCGGTGACGGCTGGCTCCCGTACGACGGGAGCTGGTGCTGTGTGCCGGCCGGCGGTCCGGTGACGGCTGGCTCCCGTACGACGGGAGCTGGTGCTGTGTGCTGGCCGGCGGTCCGGTGACGGCTGGCTCCCGTACGACGGGAGCCGGTACTGTGTGCCGGTCGGCGGTCCGGTGACGGCTGGCTCCCTTGCGACGGGAGCCGGCGCTGTGTGCCGGCCGGCGGCCCGGTGACGGTGGGCGGCGCTGTGTTCCAGGCGGCTGCATGCACATGATCTGCCCGCGCTCACAGTGCGGGTACCACTGGTGCTGGGTGTGCCAGACCGAGTGGACTCGCGAGTGCATGGGCAACCACTGGTTCGGGTAGGCAGGTACGTGGCCGCTCAGCCGAGCGGCTGGGCAGCGACGGAGAGTAACGTGGATGTAGCCATTCCATTTCTTGAGCAGGAGATGCCTGCGCGTATTTGTGTGGGCCAGTATTTGCTTAACGGCGTTGACAATGCACAGGGAGGATTAGTGTTGTTCCGGGTTCGGGGTTTCGTTTCACCTGGCCACGGGAGACTGGTACATTCCGCTGTTGTTGGTCAGATTGCATAACTCTCGCTGTCACGACCGCACGGTCCGTTCGTTATATGTGCTCACTATAACGCGTAGCCATGCGCCAGAGGCCGAAACAGCCCTCGCGGCAGTCGATGGTGGGGTTGGCCGCCAATCCCCCCCCCCCCCCCCGCTCCCGCCTGCTGACGGTGCTCTCCCTGGCCTCTCCAGACGGCGGGATGTCGGCGGCCGTCCGCAGCATGCGCCAGGGTGTGAATGTGCTCGTCTCGTCCCTCCTCATCACCTCCCTCCTCGTCCAGACTAGAGCGGCGGCAGCGGCGCCGGCCTCGGTGACGATCGGTAAGACCGCCCCCCCCCCCCCCGGCCCCAGCGGCGCCGGCCTCGGTGACGATCGGTAAGACCGCCCCCCTCCCCCGGCCCCAGCGGCGCCGGCCTCGGTGACGATCGGTAAGACCGCCCCCCCCCCCCCGGCCCCAGCGGCGCCGGCCTCGGTGACGATCGGTAAGGCCGCCCCCCCCCCCCCAGCCCCAGCGGCGCCGGCCTCGGTGACGATCGGTAAGACCGCCTCCCCCCCCCGGCCCCAGCGGCGCCGGCCTCGGTGACGATCGGTAAGACCGCCCCCCCCCCCCGTCCCCAGCGGCGCCGGCCTCGGTGACGATCGGTAAGGCCGCCCCCCCCCCCCCCGGCCCCAGCGGCGCCGGCCTCGGTGACGATCGGTAAGGCCGCCCCCCCCCCGTCCCCAGCGGCGCCGGCCTCGGTGACGATCGGTGGGGCCGCCCCCCCCCCCGCCTCAGCGGCGCCGGCCTCGGTGACGATCGGTAAGACGGCCCCCCCCCCCCCGGCCCCAGCGGTGTGGCGAGGGCATGGCGGCGTAAGCTGTCGCCGTGCGGTATGACGGGGTCGGTCTGCGGCGGTCCTGTCCAGTCCCATACTCTCGCAAGATTTTGGATATGGCTTACTCTTTAATTTAGAGCCAGGGGCGCCTTGTTGGGCGTGCAATGGGCGAGGACTTCTATGGGAGTGATTGTCTCACGCGTCTCTATGCTTGAATTGGATGCAAGCTCCGCGCTGAATTTATTTAGTTTGCTTATTTCATATGCTTTTTCTGTTGTCACACCCGCAGGAATGATTCCTGTGGTGTCATAGGCTGGGACCACATTCTCGCTAAAGACTGCTACACGAATTGAATGCCACTGATGTTAGGTAATATTCGTCACCTGGACCTTATTTGGCGCGTGACATTTAAATCGTGTTTGTTCACACAGCTTAATGTTATGGTTATATTACATCTGACAATCGCGCTGCTCGAGGTGAACGGTCATCGATGTTGAAAGGACGCAGGCGTAATGTTCTGATAAGTATTGTGCAATCCATCCAACTCTTGAATTAGATAAAACAGTAGTAAAAGCCGTATTCTTCGTAGAAAAACCAGGAGAATAGAGAGGCGGATGCGTTGATGTTTTGGCAACGTGCCTTAATCGAAACGAATATCATTCGACGGAAATATTTGATTGATATTCGATTTGATCTGATTGAAATGTAATATTCTTTTGAAAGATAACAACAAATATATAATATAGCGCTTGATAAATCGCCAACGCCTAACACGGCAATAAATATGGAATATCAGGAAATCTAAAAATCTGATGTTCGTTTCGATAGAGACGTGTCGCCGTATTATCAACGCATGTATCGCTATTCTCCTGGTGTTCTACGAGAAATAAGGCTATCATTTCTGTCCTATCTATATGCATAACGCTCCCCGCAAGTGCATTTAATAACCTACGGAACTCTTGAATAACTGACCATAAGTCCTTGGGCCTATATCGTTGCACCATTCCTTTTATGACCCATTATGATGAACGAGCGTAGCGAAGCCAGCACTATTGTCCCTCGCTCACGAATATTTAATCATTGATTCGTCATGCAGATGAAAATGCGTGTTATATTCACTCTGCTGAATTGTTTGCATTGTTCGCGGCCTCGTGCCAAGTAATTTGGGCGATCGATGAACTCTTCAATGGGGCTGGAAATATCAGACCAACGCCTTTCAGCATAGGAGGCTACGCGTTTTTGACGTGGCAATCCCTGTCAACTTCATGTAAAAAGCGAAAAAAGTAGAACATATATGAACTAGAATGAGCGATGTGACGTACCCAGTTTCACTGTAAAGCAAACGCGATACATATCCTTCTAAAAGGGCAGTTTCGGCCGCGCGGGTGATCGCCCAATGTTCGAGACGGGGACTTGTCCAACAATATGCTGTAAAAGGAGTCCGAGTGGTTGGAAAGGCTCGGGATCTTGGGCGGTATAATGGATGAGTGGTTAGCACGCTCTATACAAGGGGACATGATGGCGTGCGTTGTGTGTCCTTTCAACTTTCTATTTAGCCGAGCGGCGCGGAGTAGTAGCTATATATCATAAACACTCCGGGGATATGGAACGCGAGCTTACGGTCATGGGCTATTGGCAAGAAAGGAAACTTGGAAGCATTGGTTGACTTAACGACGAATGTAATCATGTCATCGATAGTGCATGCTTCGGATCGACTGCCCTTTCTGTATTTGGCAAGGACACTCAAAGGACGAGTAACGCGAAGGACGAGTAACAAGCGAAGGACGAGTAACGCGCGAAGAACGAGTGACACGCGGAGGACGAGTACACGGGAAGGACGAGTATCACGCGAAGGACGAGTACACGGGAAGGACGAGTGACACGCGAAGGACGAGTAACAAGCGGAGGACGAGTAACGCGCGAAGGACGAGTACACGGGAAGGACGAGTACACGGGAAGGACGAGTGACACGCGAAGGACGAGTAACAAGCGGAGGACGAGTAACGCGCGAAGGGCGAGTACACGGGAAGGACGAGTGACACGCGAAGGACGAGTAACGCGAAGGACGAGTAACAAGCGAAGGACGAGTAACGTGCGAAGGACGAGTACACGGGAAGGACGAGTCACACGCGAAGGACGAGTACACGGGAAGGACGAGTCACACGCGAAAGACGGGTAACACGCGAAGGACGAGTACACGCTGTGGTCAGTGCTGTCATCGTCGGTCGAACACGGTATGCTTTAGTTGGAAGTTACCTTCCCATCCTTACCACGTAACGAGAGGGCGTGTGTAGCTGACTGGCTCCAGTGCAGACGCTGTCCATGGCGACGACTTCCTGTTGGGTTTCCGGTCTGCAAGGCACGCGGTCGGAAGAGCACACGTTTGCTGTTGGAACTTCTCAAACGAAGTCCTTTCCCTCATGCAAAGAGTCTCGCTTGTAAAAAGTGAACTTCTTCCGTTCATGTGTTGTCAATGCGTTCGTTCCAAGTCCGTCCAGGCCAAGCTGTTCAGAAAACATGAGTCGTATTAAAGGAAGCCCCCAGCTGACCGGCGGCCTGGCCGGTGTCGAGGAACACGGCCATCCGGACGGCTGGGCCTGTTATTCAGTCATCGGCTGCTCTCTGTATATGCTAATGCGGGACGGGATTGTCCCCTCTCACACCGGCTCGGATTCGGTCCGTTGCTGGATACTTCAGCGGTCCACATGTGCGTAAATGCGTGCATTGTGCCTACACAGTGATGTCAGCAGCGCGGTAGCTTTCTCTGCCTAGTGACGTAACCAGAGCGTTAGTTACAACGCCGATCAACCTCTCTGTCACGTCCCTCTGTCGCCCCTCTGTCGGTATATGGTTGGTGATATGACACCACCTGTTATCGTTTTGTGGTATATTCGCCCGTATTGTGACATTCGTGATATGCTCGCGCAACGCCGTTGCCAATGTGTAGTTTAAGTTAGCCTGCGCCACTCGGTAATACAATCGACCTGCGCTGCCGACCGCTGCAACTTGTACGTCTATTGAAGGCAGGCGCTGTTTGCGTACTCTTCCGGCTTTGTCGGCCTTACGCCCCATAATAACAATGCGCCGGCATAGAGCGTTGTCCGTCGTCGGCCGTGCCCGGCGCTGTGGGTCTGCGTTTATTATTCCGGCTTGGTAAAACGTCCTTTGACGTGTCGGTGGGCGGCGCGCCGCCGCTGCCGCCGGTCCCACGCCAGGGGGGCGGCGCGGCCCCCAGACCAGGCGCTCGTTCCCGCGGCCGCCTCAATGGCGACGGGTGAGCGGCGCCCGCGTCCGAATGGCCACTGGCAGCGCCCCTTGCGGTCCGCACGCGCCGCCGGTAACGGGTGAGCGGCGCCTGGCTGGCCGCTGGGAGCGCCCTCTGCGGTCCGCACGCGCCGCCGGTAGCGGGTGAGCGTCGCCTGGGTGGCCACTGGCAGCGCCCCTTGCGGTCCGCGCGCGCCGACGGTGGCGGGTGAGCGGCGCCTGGCTGGCCGCTGGCAGCGCCCTCTGCGGTCCGCACGCGCCGCCGGTAGCGGGTGAGCGTCGCCTGGGTGGCCACTGGCAGCGCCCCTTGCGGGTCCGCGCGCGCCGACGGTGGCGGGTGAGCGGCGCCTGGCTGGCCGCTGGCAGCGCCCCTTGCGGTCCGCGCGCGCCACCGGTGATGGGGAGCGGCGCCTGGCTGGCCGCTGGCAGCGCCCCTTGCGGTCCGCGCGCGCCACCGGTGACGGGGAGCGGCGCCTGGGTGGCCACTGGCAGCGCCCCTTGCGGTCCGCGCGCGCCGCCGGTAGCGGGTGAGCGGCGCCTGGCTGGCCGCTGGCAGCGCCCTCTGCGGTCCGCGCGCGCCACGGGTGACGGGGAGCGGCGCCTGGCTGGCCGCTGGCAGCGCCCTCTGCGGTCCGCGCGCGCCACGGGTGACGGGGAGCGGCGCCTGGCTGGCCGCTGGCAGCGCCCCTTGCGGTCCGCACGCGCCGCCGGTAGCGGGTGAGCGGCGCCTGGCTGGCCGCTGGCAGCGCCCTCTGCGGTCCGCGCGCGCCACGGGTGACGGGGAGCGGCGGTAGGTGCCGTGCCGCCTGCTGGGGCAGTCCCGGCGTTGCGCCGAGGCCCACACCAGGTCCGCAGACATGTGTCAACTCCCATCCACATGATGAGATAGGGCTTAGGATATGTTTTGCTCCCAAATGATGCGGTTTTTCTTGTGATCTTCGAGTTCCTTGTGCGTGGTCGAGGCCTGAACTTTAAGCAGTCGATGGCCGCGGAAAGCTATGTTTGTTGGCGCTCCGGTAGCTAATTTTTGTTCCTCTTTATTTCTATTTTCATCCGGTTAGAGTAGTTGCCTGCTCCAGTCACTCGGGATGTTAACTCCGACCCTTACTCGCCTACATTTTTGACTGGCTGCGGAGTCGACCCGGACTATCCACGGATTCGAGCGTAATTGCGATGGTACGGTGAATAG